TAGGGTTCGGAATACCGACCGAAAATTGAATACCGGTATTTCGGTATATTTTCAATGTGATACCGGTATACCGGTATTAATACCGGTATTGGAAAAAAATATAAAGATGCTAAAAATCTAGAGGTAAAATAATGAATGAAACGAAATTTGATAATAAATTTATTATAAAAATGTAAAATAAATAAATAATTATTCATTATACAGGGTGTATCTGAATGACGTGTCCAAACTTCAGGGGGTGATTCTTTAGGCAATTTTAAGGGTACTTTCTCATATAAACTATCAGCGATTTCGACTGTCCTGCGGAGCTACGCCCCTTCAAAAATAGCGAAAAATTTTGGTTTATTTTTTTTTTCCCGAAAACCATTAACACCAAGAAAATGAAATTTGGGAAATATGTTTAGCTTATAATAGGGCATGTTTCGAGCCTCTTTGTACTTTCAATCTTCCCTTCTAAGTTACTAAACATAACCCCCTGTTCAATTTTTGTCTAGATCTTTTTTATACATTGGAAATATTTTATTTAGATAGACGAAAATATTCTAAAACTTTTTTGCCTCTCTGATGTTCTTCGAAAAGTTAATAGTTTCTGAGAAAAAAATTAATTAAGCAAACACTAACTGTTAAGCTGTAGCGTTGTTAATCGAAAGTTGGAATGAATTTTTAAAGAAAAAATCTTAGCAGGCTTAGCAATCTTTGTCAGAAATATTTTTGACGTTTAAATGTCAGTGGTTTTTTACTAAAGCTTTGTTCGTTGGGACTGCACCAGACTGCACTACTCTGCACGACATTGCACTCGAATGACGTCATAGTGCAATGAAGTGTAAGTAAGTGCAATGTCATGTCAACTTAGTGCAGGTCAGAAAAGTGTATAAACCATGGTCGCAACGAACAGATTTTTATAAACAAAAGTGTATAATATTTGAAATGGACGAACAGGAGATTGTTAGCGAAATTCTCGCGGAAAGTGAATTCGTCGCAGAATGTTTTTTTAGTAGCGATTCATCTGATGGTGATGTAGAATTACTTAATAAATGTTCTTATAGCGTTGTCAAGCACGTGAGGACAACCATAAGAAATTATTGCACTGAGGTAAAAATAAAATAATTTGGACATGGTGATATTCATAATAATTGATTTTAGATAGTTCCTAGTTACACAGAAGTTGAATTTTTTTCACATTTTAGAATAAGCAAAGCTTTATGCTATGCTTTGATTGATAAATTTACTGTTAGTGAAATTTATCAAACAATATTAAGCGCAGGTAATGGTATTAAACAGTTGATTCTTTTTAGTATTGAACTAAATAAAACATGTGATAGGTCACAGAAACATTTCGGCGGAAAAGCATTTTTTAGCTTTTTTATGGTTTTGTGGCCATCAAACTGTGTCATTCCGGGATGTGGCTGATAGATTCGATCTATCAATAAGTAGTTTGCATGATATCATAACAAGAGTATCTCTTTGGCTAAGTAATATGGCATGTCATGTTATAAAATGGCCTTCTAAAGAAGAAAAAAAACATACCAAGGAGTATTATAAAAGAATTTCAGGATTCCCTAGTGTGATAGGTCAGTTTTCACCATTATTTGTATGGTTTGTAAATTAAGTATAGATATTGTTACAATTCAGAATGTTATTCCTTATTTTAAAAGAAACATGTTTTTAAAAAAATTGATTTTTATTCTTATTACAGGTGCAATAGATGGAACACATATTAAAATTGATAGGCCAAAAGACCGATTATTGCAACAGAAAAGATTATTTTTCTATTATATTGCAAGGAACATGCAATGAAAAAAAAAAATGTATAGACATATTTATTGGATATCCAGGATCTGTTCATGATGCACGTGTCTTCCAAAACTCTTCATTGTATAATTTTTTATATAGTGATGATGAAGGCAATTATTTAGATTATTTAACAGTCAGTAGTACATGTATATTTACTTATTTACAACTACTGTTTGTTTTATAGATAGCTATATATTAGGAGATAGTGCATATCCATTATCAGAACGTGTAATGGTGCCATATAAAGATAATGGACATCTAACATCGGCACAGAAACACTTCAATAGAAAACACAGCCAATGCCGTGTATCTATTGAACACACGTTCGGATTGTTGAAACAAAGATGCCGGCAGTTGTATCACCTGAAGCTTCGTGGCCCAGAAAGAATTTGTCATTTCATTCGTGCATGTTGTGTTTTACACAATTTGGCCGATGAAGAAAACACAAATGTTTTACAACATGATTCAGTGGATGATGTGCAACCAGCAACGCAGGACGAAAAAGAGAACAGAAATAGAGGAACAGTGTTAAGAAACGAAATTTGTAATTATTTATTTATGAATAGATAAAAAATTCAATCTCATTGTTTTTTATTTAATAGTTGTGTTAATAGTTCATTACGAGTTTTCAATTCATTAATGAACTCCTGCCTTTGTTTAAATTTTCTTTCTTCATTTTGCTTTTTAAATTTAAACATTTCTTCTTGCAATTGTCTTATTTTGCTTAATTCACTAGTCGTGGTGCGATCCCGATTTCTTTTCTGGGATGGAACAGAAATGATGTTCTGATGTTCTGTTTTTTCTTGTATTACCACTTGTTCGGTTAAATTGATTGAAGGTTCCTGTATTGTTGGTGAAAAGCATCTTTCGGCTTCAGGAACCGAAACGTTTGAAGGTCCTGCAATTTGTTCATCTTCAATGCATTCTTCTATTGTACAATCTTGTTTTCGCTTTTTTCCTTTAATATCAACGACATTCCCCATTGTCGAGCTCCCTAATGTACAAATGGGTTGTATCGAGTGCCGCTTTGATAAAATATCTTCTAATTCCCTTTCGTATGGGCAGGATATTCTTCCTCTTCCAGTTTTCTTTGATATTAAAATTTTGTTTTTATAACCTCTTTCTAGACTCTTCCATTTATTCTCTATTTGGAGAGGAGATGCAATGTACCCATACCCCTTCATTCTATCGCTTATTAAATTCCACATTTTCTTTAATGTTTTTATTTTCCGTTCTTCAACTAAATTTTTTTTTTCTTTATATAAATGCAGTAATAATTTTGTTTTTGCATCATCCCAATCCATTTTTTCTTTATTTTCTTCATCACTAGTTCTTAAGCGTACTGTCCGCCCATCTTCAAAGCTATAAAATTCTTGGCCTTTTTCAACTGCATCGACTGGTATTGAATGTACTGTGTTCTCTAGTACAACAAATATTAATTAATATAAGGTTTTATTTCTGACTGTATTAATAATAATATATGGCTACTTACCTACAAAAATCAAATAACAATTCTTTTCGATTATTTTTTCTCCTTCTTCATTTATCACAAAATACGCTTCTAAATGTTCTGCCATTTTATGTTACATTGACAAGGGAAGTGTCGGAAATGTGTATACGACATTTAGGGGTGGATGGGGATTTTTGTGTAGGAGGCAGGAGTATGAAAATTATTAGCGAAATATATTTTCTACACCAAACTACTAACCCTTATTAGTTCTTTCAAAAGTACTACTTAACGTATAAAGAAATCACATGCTAAATTACACCAAAATCTATAAGCAGTAATTGCAAAAAAAATTTTTGGTGTGGTGAGGGTAGTTAACCCCAGCCACCC